AAAAAAAAAAAAAAAAAAAAAAAAAGAAATGCCATCTAAGCAATGTACCTTGTGTGTTCCTTGATGGAACTGCTTTACAAATCTGGGGACTACCACTTTAGGTATGGCTAGCCTCTCATTGGAAAACTTCCACCATCCTCCTTCAATGTAATTTCCACTTTCCTGGGCAAACTAAACCTTCTCATTTGGAGTGTAGCTAGGGGGCTCCTGGAGGGGAACCTCCAGGAGGCGAGGCATAGCCAGAGCCTTGTCTTTGGGAGGCAGTGCTCTTATTGCTGCCTGTTTTGCCTCTTTGTCTGCCTTTCTGTTTCCTTTTGCTTCAAAGGTCCTTGCTGCTTGAATGAATGACAACCACCTTTTCCAGAGCCTACACAGCATTTAAAAGTTGTAGAATTTCCTTCTTAAATTTTCTTTCCCTTCTGCAGTTAAAAGTCCTTTATATATAGATGTGTGTGTGTGTTTGTGTATATATATATATATATATATGTATATATTTAAAAGCCCTTATGTCTTTTATTATATGTATAAAAGTCCTTTACGCACGCACACACACACACACACACACACACACACACACACACACACATTTATACTAATGCAAAGTATGCCTTTGCCATGCTGCATATCCATAGGGAGATATATATATATCTGAGTGAGTTACCTGGTTGTAAATAAAACAAGTCTTTAGGTGGGTCCTTGTACATTCATTGTATGTCTAATACAGTAAAGTCTTAACTACTATAGTCCTTATTCAAGTAGCATGCATGCAATGTGGACATCCTTTTATGGGTTGCCCTTCCTCCCTTATAGACACAGGAACTAGCAATAGCAAAGCAAAAGACAGCATCCTTATATTTAGCAGGGGCAGAATAAATCTCAGAGATTTATATATATCTCCCTGTGGGTATGCAACTTGGCAAAGGCATACTTTGCATTAGTATAAATGTTGACTACCTTTTTTTTTTTGGCCAGTAGTGTAAAGCTCTTGTTAGAGCAATCAATTCTGTTTTCTGATGTTCTGGCTGGTAGAGGTTGGGCCTCCACCACTGAGTTCTGTGTTGCTACTGTGTACCTAGCTTGCCAGATCCCTTCTGTAATAAAACTACTTCTATCTGTAAAGTATTCTTCATCTGGATTTCCAAAGAGCTGGTCTGTTAAATCCCTTCATCTAGAAAATACTTTATCTATAACGTCCATGCAGTTATGTTGTGGTAGGGGATCTCTCAGCTCTCCTATGGATATCAGAGTGGCTGGGTTTAGGGTATTGACAGTTTCGAAAATTATGTAAGGATTCTCATGTAAGAGTCCTTGATACCTCGTCATTCCTGGGTTTGACAACCAATGATGCCCTCTCTGGTCCATAAGAGTAATAACTATGTGCAGCACCCAAATGATTAGTTTCTGTCTTAGGGTCAGTTAGTTGGCTTCTTATGCTAGCAGAGCTGTAGCTGCTACTGCTTTGAAACAGGGAGGCCAACCTAGTGCCACAGGGTCCAGTTGCTTTGATAGGTATGCCACTGGTCGATGCCATAATCCTAACATTTGGGTCAGGACTTCTCTTGCCATTCCTTTCTGTTCATGGACATATAGGAAGAAAGGCTTAGTCTGATATGGCGTCCTAATGCTGGGGCCCGAATCAAGGCCTTATTTTCTTGAAGCCCATCTCCTGGTCAGTTCCCCAAAGGAGGGGCTGCTTTTTACCTTCCTTTGTGGCTTCATACAGAAGTTTTGAGACGAGTGAGAAATTTGGAATCCAAATGTGGCAGAAACATGCTGCTCCTAGGAATTCCTTTATTTGACACCGGGTGGTTAGAGTGGGAACTGCACATACAGCCTGCTTTTGCTCATTGCCAAGTTTGTGTTTCCCTTGGCTTACTAGGAAACCTTGATATTTAACCCCTTGTGAACAGATTTGTGCCTTCCTTGAGACCTTATATCCTGCTTTCCATAAGAGATGGAGGAGATCCTCAGTGTCATGTAGGCAGTCCTGCCAAGTAGGGGCTTCAAGTAGGAGATCATCTATGTACTGGAGCAGGATACAATTGTCATTTGGCAGGGTAAAAGCTCTGAGATATGAGGCTAGTGCCTCTTCAAAAATTGTAGGTGACTTTTTGAATCCCTGTGGGAGCCTTGTCAAAGTATACTGTGTTTCTTCCCAATGAAATGCAAAAAT